ATCTTATACAGCTATTTCAATTATAGTTTATTAGATAAATTTAGCATAGCAGTAGCCTCGTGGGGATGCTTTCAGCGACAGCTGCAAATGCAAATGAAAATTTAGAATATGCAAAATTTGGTTGTTGGTGAAACAATTTAAGTTTCGAATTGTCGCGTGTAGCATCACAATAAGTAGATAAATTGCATCAGTTTCATAAGGCATGTTTCTGATGTGTTAGGCTTGTTTCAAACGTCACGCTACTCGTGTGCCGAGCGCATTAAAAGCAATAAATAATGTAGACTTGCTCCAAGTCTCTCTTTCATTGACATATAGTATTGATCCACTATAGTGTACATTACATGACGTAGTAAGGAGGGGCGGAGCGAGAAAGAGAGACTTGTCAACTTCGTTTTCTGTCAGTATTTATATGTATTGATCTAGCAGTGTAAATAACATGAATTCATTATAGTAAATAATACATAAAGAAATTGAAGGAAAACAATTAAAGCAAGTCTTGCATTTTCGGTTCAGTTTTGAACCGAGATTTTCCGAAGTTGACAAGTCTCTCTTTCTCGCTCCGCCTCTCCGTGCTACGTCATGTAATGTACACTATAGTGGATCGATATGACAATGAAAGAGAGACTTGGAGCAAGTCTATAAATAATGAGATGAAATGCCTTTGGTAACTGTTTATTTCGTAGTGTAAGCCATCAGCTTTTCTAGGTTGTCGGCGACCCTATATAGTTCTTGCAGTGTCTTTTTAAATTTGAAACTTCACACTATCCTTGGATCCCTAGTTGTATATAGCTGGAGTCAACTGATAATACTGTATGTAGCAATCGAAACTGATGTGTTTTAGGTTCAATATTTGGTGCTACGACAACAAATACTGGAACAGGTTTATTTGGCAGTAAACCACAAACAACTGGTGGTCTGTTTGGTTCAACACCAGCAACAGGAGGCTTGTTTGGAAACACAGCAACAGGTAACCTAGGAGGATTTTTCAAATGCTATTTTATGTGTGCAACCATTCTCAAGGAATTCAAGAGACAAAGAGAATTCTGCCATGCTGGATGAAATCATTATAGCAAACAAGAAAATCTTTCATAATTAAAATTCATCCAACATGGTGGCGATGACATAACTTGCACACCAGTAATACAAATGTAATTAGCATTCTATTTCATCTACTCCTGCTCTAACTTTTCATGGAATTAATGTGACATGCATTTGTGAATTTACTCCGGCTGTATGGAACCACTCCGCAGTGTGGATTATAACAACTGCGCTTGGGTCTGACTGATGTCTGATCAGCTGTGCAGTTGCTCAGACATTGACTAACAATGATTGTCCACGTTTTAACAATAGGGAGTTTACGCATGTAAGACGGCAACATCAGAACGACGGCTATCAATACAATATCATTAATCCTATAGCACAAAAGAAATGAATAATTAAAAGTATATCTGGAGTTTCAGACGTCGTCCATGCTCTGTTGACGACGGCAAAATGCATATTTTCACCACCATGGGGAAGCCCGGCTCAGACATGCATGGGATTTAATTTCCATAACGACGAGGGCCCTTACTCTCACCCTGATGTTGTTTCTCCATCTTTTCTGGGGGCCCTTACCTGCTCTGAAGGTTAAAGCTCTGTTTTACTCGTTCTAAACTGTATTAAATTCATGAGAAAGTAAATACAGGACAACATTTTCATACAATCATTAATTTTAAAAAGTTTGTTTAGCCCTAATGGTTACTCACTTTTTGTAGGCAGTCCCAACGATCCATGCAAGCATTCATCGGTCCAAGCGTCCATCCTAAATAAAATTGATCGGCCATTTAGCGTTTTTGTTTGACAAGTAGCTGATCGTTGACCATTATAATCCACACTGCAGACCACCCCTCTCCAATTCTCAGTTTTAAAGTTTTCAATGTATATTGATATAATAATTGTTATTTTTGTTGAACCTTCATCTTTTTTTATGTTTAGCAGGTCAAAATGTTGCAGGAACCCCGGCCAAGTTTATTGTAAGTTGGGAATTATATACTAATGGCACTTTTTGATCGCAATGATGTGTCAATGTCATGTGCAATGACAAAATGAGCACGAGAAAAACTTGCAGCCACACCCTTACACGATTAGTTTCACACCATGTTATCGTAGGTTTTTGTTATTGTTTTTATTTTACCCAAAATCAACAAGTAACAATAAAAATGCTTTGTTTGGTACATTTCCAATAAGAATCGTAGACATGTTTCTAGCTTGTCATAAATCCAAAGTAACAATAAAATTAAGTTTTATTACAGTAATTTGAAAAATGCCGTGGAAACTGCCAAAATTGCCGTAGACAGCTGTTACGTTCTACGGCAATTTTTAACGCCATTGCCGTCGATTGATTTCAGGGAAATTCGAGGCCTGCACTCGTCCAATTTTGCCCTTCATTACAATTATTAAAAGGATACTTGATACAGAGATGAATAGCTATCACTGTTTCAATTTTACAGAAAAACTTTCTTATGAAGTGTAGACCTTATAAGTAACCAAAAAATGACAAAGTTTTACTTTGATCTATCATTGAAACTTTCCCAAGGGGAGGTGCAGGATTTTTCAGGGGAGGTGCAAAACGATCTCAGGGGAGGTGTGCACCTCCCCTCAAAATCCGACCATGATTTAAGCCTGCAATACCATGGTGTAGCACTAATCTGGCACTTGTAACTCTGACACTTGTAACATAGATTAATTAGAAAAAATTTGCAATGACGGCACTTAAAAGGCCAAATCAATACCTGGTGGATAGTTGTTACTTGTTACTATACTGTATGTAAGTGATGGCAATTTTCAGGGTGCGATAATTCAAGATTTTTAGTCGTACCTAACTGGTACGCCAATGGTTGTCGATTTGTACTTGCGGTAGTACAAACTGAGCACTCAATGTGTACTTAGTTTTTAAAATAAGGTTCATAAAGTACATGTTTCTGAAAAGTATGTCCAGACTACGAGGTAGAAAAAGAACCACAATCGCAATATACAAACAATCGACTCCAACGTTTCTTGGTGCCATCAGTCCAATCATGTTTCATGCCAAGACATCTCAGACACATGATACACCAACGAAATTACGGTATTGAATACCTTAGGCTTGGAAAGGTCATATGTGGTACCACCAAAAATAAGTGCACAAATAGCAAGAGTACCTCGTACCTACGCGGTACCTGGCTGAAAACAAAGAAGTACCAGACAGTAATATTGGCGTACGTCCGGTACGTAAGTACGCGATCTATCGCACCCTGAATTTTCCAATGCATATTCCATTAAAGACTGAAAAACCTATTGACTTAGTCAATAAAATCGTAGGGAGTTAGGCAGAATGAAATGCGAAGTCCATCCCAACTTCTAGAGCATGTTAAGATGCAAAGATTAACTTGGCTCCTTAGTAAATGAAATCAGATCAAATGCTAAGTCCACCCTTGGCCCTTGCCTCTTAATTGTTTAACCCATTGAGCGCCAGCGCTCTCCCCTTGACGAGAAAAAAGTCTGGCGTTAGACAGAGTAAAATGATAAAGTAAGGCGCATTGGGGCGCAATGCAATTTAATGGGTTAAGACTTGAACTTATTAAAGATGCCACCACTGAATCTGGGCACGCAGTATTACTATCACAACAGTAGGGTTTCAGTGAACCATAATCAACCGTTTTCCCGTTTTTAGCCTCAGACAAGCACAGATACAATGATGAAGAATGGCATACAGAGCAATATTAATACTAAGCATCAATGTATAACTCTTATGAAAGAATATGACAAGAAAAGTCTTGAGGTAAGTTCTCAGCATTTCTCAGGGTGTCTGATGATATTAGGATTTCCAGCAACTCTCCTCTCCCCATTAAAGAAAATCAGTTTCAACCATTGCCATGAACTATGAAATTGATAGTAACTAATTGGTTGAAGAAGAAGAATGCAATATTAAGAATATTAAACACTCTGCTATATGAGCCTGGATCCGTCGACATGAAACGTTCAAGATTATTATTACACGATAGCAGATGGTAATCAACTTCGTAAATGTTGACACTTGCTAGAGCAAGAAAATTAAGTTATATACATCTGCCAATTCTCCTTATTCACTTTCGACTGCGAGACTAAAAAGAATTCCATCATTTTTCCATTGTGCAATTGTAATCACCGCCTGCTGTACGATATTACTTTACGAAATCCAATTCAAATAGTACTGGTGCATGGTGCATGTGTTTCTAACTTTCGCTATGCTTTTGTTTTTTAAACGTACCGTATGACACACTCATCTGTACATGCTCACTTGTTGATTAAAATGTATAAACGACGTGCCTTTGTTGCAGGAACTACGTATGGAAGATTATCAACTTGGTAGAAAGGGTCCACAAGCTTCAGGAACTGGCACTACAACTGGAACTGGTATGTTTGGAAGTTCATTTGGTACCTCGACTGGTGGATCAACGTTCGGGACAGGTAAATCTCGTTTACCCCTGTAAGCATATTACTAATCATGAGCAGTTGATGATCAGTTGATACTTATCAGAACGAGATAGTACTGTTCTTAATTCTTTTCATTGTAAATAGAAATCATGGTGTTTAGTTGCGAGGAAATATACAAGTAATAGAGATTTAGTTTAATTTGTTTACTATTGTAAGTTTAAACGCTTCTGTACTTGATCACCATCTGTCCCGCCAATACAATCTAAAACAGTCACTTCCGTATGAATGCTAGACTCTGATTGTTTTTTTCCAGTTACCATGTACACAAACAATCAGAAGTATTTGCATTGCTATTTGGGATTCAATGTACTGTAATCAACCAATCACATTTCTTGTATATAATCCAATATTATATACAATCATATTGTTCTTGAATGACATAGTGGTTTTAATTTACTAAGGAGGGTTTGGCACAAGTACTGGCACTGGTATATTTGGACAATCTGGACAAACAAATATGTTTGGCGCGAAAACGACGTCAGGTGGATTATTTGGCAACTCAAGTACAACATTCAGTGCTCCCTCTGCTTTTACAAATACTTTCGGTAATAAACCGGTAAGATAACAATATATTTATTTATATTCTAAAGTAAATTAACTACTTATGAGTGAGTACCAGACCTTGAATTTTGCTTTATTTTGCCCCAGAAGGAGGTTTCAGCACACCTCAGCCAGTTCAGTTGACAAGCAGATACCTTTTTCATCTCTGTGTACAAGTAGCCAACTTGTAAAACCAATTATTATGAAAAATAGAAATATTTAAACAAAATATTTAGAAAGAGGTTTATCGCTAACTTGTTCGCTCATACAGGGTGGACTGTTTGGTACAACAACTACCACACCATCAACTGGCTTGTTTGGAACAACACCTGCATTTGGCACAGCCTCGGCTGGCAGCAGTTTGTTTGGTACGCCATCATTTGGTCAGACTACTCAGGTTAGTCATTGAGGGTAATAACGAGGATTAGTCTGAAGTGATGGGGTAATATTTGGGGTATAATATGTCATGTGAATGACTACTGAAAAGGCATGTTTAACAGTGCTATTAGCACGCGTGCATGCATCAGCCCACACAAAAATCGTTCACAGTATGCCATGCATTCTATCATTTCATAGTAAAATGCCCAATCCCTCTCTAAAATGCAGTGGTTTTCGATAAGCGAAGCGATAAGAAAATATTTTTATATCTTATTTTTTATAATCTTATTTAACAGGCTGGTGTATTTGGTGCTTCTTCACAGCCCGGTGGTATGTTCGGGAAACCAGCATTTGGGACGAATACATCGGGGGCTGGCGGTTTGTTTGGTACCTCCACTTTTGGACAGACTTCTCAGGTACCATTTACTAGTAAGATTGTTTACACGCAGTGGTATATAATATTTAATCACTTGCCATCAAGACAAGTGAGCTATAACGATGCAGGTTTGCATCAAATGGAATATGCCACAAGATCATACACTAACCTTCAGCACATACAGTATGCAGATCAATAACTTATAGTAGATACAATTGAGTCGTGAAAGAGTTTGCCTGCAATGAATTTCACTAATTTACTGGACAAACATGTTGCAATGAAAAGAAAACGTATGGTGATGCAAATATTATTTTAATGGCACGGATTTACTTTATTATTCAGTATTTAATAGGCAAATAAAACGCTACATCTTACGCAGTATAGTCTGTAGACGTCTATTTCTTGTTTTGTGTTTTACCACGCGTAGGCATAAATTCCACATAAACCTCGTATTTTAAACACTAGTATTTTCACGTGCATCAAACTTGTATTGAGTATACTGCTATATCTATTTAATATAATTTATTCTATTCATATTACTTGCAGCCCTCTTTGTTTGGTCCGAAATCTACCACCGGTAAGTCCACTCCTGCAAATATTGTATTACGTCTGGGTTACGCTATGTCTAAATTTACGTGATCACTTTTGCTTCACTCGCGTAATTAAATTGTGATAACTGCGGATTGCGAAACATTCAACTACCTGAAAAATACAAACAGAACTTCGACTTTTCGAGCGCCCTTCGCCGATTTATTATCGTCTCGACCTACACAAGACCGGATTTTGGTGGAAATAGTGGGGGAGGTGGAAACAAACTTAGGGGAGGTGCAGCAGTCTAGCTCACGACCCCCATGGAAAGTTGGAACGGGCCAAAGTCAACGACGTGACGTATGCATGTAGTGTACATATGTATCAGGGTATTAATGAATTGTGACTGTACAACACAAAGTTTCTTTCAAAACATTGCATTAAAATGGTACTTGTCACTGAGATGAATGGCTATCACTGTTTCAATTTTACAGAAAAACTTTCTTACGAAGTGTAGACCCCATAAGCAATCAAAAATTATCAAATTTCACTTTGATCTATCATTGAAACTTTCTCAAGGGAAGGTGCATGACTTTTCAGGGGAGGTGTAAAAATTCTCAGGGGAGGTGCAAAACGATCTCAGGGGAGGTGCACACCTCCCCTCAAAATCCGGCCATGTACCTACACTGGCACAGACCGTTCGTTCATGCTTTAAATTGTGCTTGCTTTTATCTAACTTTCTGAATGAGGTTCGCACTTCGAGCACCTATATCAAGGTTTTTGTCAAACTATTTTGAACATTTATTTCAACTCTTGAAGGTAGCTATACTAGTACTGAAAAAGATTTTTGTGAAGTCTGCAATTTTTATTTCACTTACACGTGATTAATATTCATCGCAAAACCCAAAGCTCTGGACAGACTTTTTATACAAAGTTTTATAAAATCACAAAACTATAACAGTGAAAATATGTACAAAATTTATTTGAAACCATGTATTTCTTGTTTGTCAGAGTATCGCTGAAAAGTTTAAATAGAGAATTATAATACATGGGTGCGCGCAAATACCAGATTTATTTCGAGTGTTGAACATGTTCAGCACTCGAAATAAATCTGGTATTTCCGCGCACCCATGTATTATTCTCTATATAATTTTGTTCCTGGCAGAACCTTGTTCTTTGTACCCAAAAGAATCGAAATTCGAGCAAGAACAATCGCAAACTATGCATGCGTGGTTTCGATGAGTTGTAAACCTTGTTGCAGGCAAGAAAAGCTTATAGTGGCGACCTCACCAACTTTCTAAACCCAGGCATAACCCTTGAGTTGCCGGTGAAAAGGAGGCCAGTTGCCATCTTCATGAAAACTGTCTACATCATCATGCATATATTTTGTTTTTCGTCAGGTACTCTAGGTACGTTCGGCACGACAAGCACAGGGGGTTTGTTTGGTACACAGAACAAACCAGGATTTGGTACAACGTTTGGTACTGGAACAGCTACTAATATGTTTGGTAATACAACTGGTACAGGATTGTTTGGTAATAGCAGTCTTGGATTTGGTACCACTGGCTCAACACTTGGTCAAACCTCAGCTTTGGGTGGTACCTTCGGCCAAACAAGTAAGATTGTCAACTTTGTACGTGACAGTGTAGTGAAATTAAGAGAGCATAATGATATTTGTAATTTATGTTAATATATTTTATTGCACTTCAGTTTAACATTTCTTCTATCCTCTAGCGTACCCAGCTTTGATAGAGTGGGTGTTAATTCATCAGGGGCGTATAATGGTTGCTGACTAATTTCTTAGGGGTGAGCTCCTTCCCGCCATTCCTCATAAAATCAGTCTGGTAGTGAGTGGGTGACTTCGCTTTTTATTCTAAATCCAGCAGTATGTGCGTTGTCCATGCAGATATAGGTTTTCCTTATCCTCACAAGTACGTATGGAACTTCTCTCCAGTGCTTTTCCCTGTCAACGCGCCAGGAATGGAATATCACCCAACACCACGTTGCGATAGTAACTATTTGCGATCATGCACTATGTCAGAATCCGTTGGTCTGGTTCAAGGAAATGAATACAATCCTCAGAAAAAAACCCCACTACATTCGCAACCAACTCTGTACGATAAATGAAGAGTTTTAGTTGTACTCACTGGTACTCCAATGATTATTTGAGCTAATACAAATATAGATAAGAACACAAGGTATATATAAAAGCTATTCATTCAGTAAACTATGAGTTAGAACAATGAGTGCGATTTCATTTCTTTCTTTCTTGTACTTTCGTTTTTGTAGCTCTTGGTGGTATAGGAACTGGCTTGGTGTAAGTATAAATAACTGTAATCATTGAATATCGTGCATTGACATATTGCAAATGAACATAAATAACAGTCGGTGATGTTTCAATGTCAAATACATTTCCAGGACAACTATGAAGGAGCCGCATTTTGCTGGCACGCGCGTTAGCCCGCACACAGCCCGCAAATCGCAGGCTTCAACACTGAGCTATATATTTCATACGTAATTCTAATACATAACTTCAATAAGACCCGGGATGGGCTCCCTGTGGCACCAGTTGTTTATATGAATTAAGTCTGTATGTCTATTTCAAAACTTATGGAAACGAAATTTCAATCAATCCATGGAAGAAATGATATGAAATTTTGTTACTTTATAATAAGATTTAAGGCAATCGGCAATCCGTTCTCGGATAACCTGTTCCGTGTGAATAAATTTCAGAGGTTTATGAGTTAATGGCACATGAATTGGCATGCGTATTAGTTATTAGTTATAATACACCTTAATAAGTACAGTGCGCAGTAATAATATCATCTGCTTGTTTCAGTGGCCAAAACAACGTCGCTGCATTGCAACAACAACAGCAACTGCAACAACAGCTACAACAGCAAGTACTTGCGTTGACAAGTTCGCCATTTGGAGATTCACCTCTATTCAGAAATCTCACGGTACGTTTTATGGTCATACAGCTGTGGTCATAAAGACCTGGCTGGAGCATCTCTCCAAACTGTCACTTGAAGACAAAGTTTTAGGTTGCTTTCAGACTCTCTGGCTACGTGTTATACAGGTTTTACCTGCATTGTATATTAGGGATGCAGAATCACACTACCAGAACTACAAGAACCCGTTTTGAGTGAAGACCCTTCGTTGCTAAGGATGTTTTGGTTATATTTCTTAAAGGGAAATGGCAATATATTTTTTTATTTTCTCATTTGAAAGAACTTTTGAAACTATTTAATAACTTCTTTTACCGATTCTTCATATCTTGCTTAGTTCTTGAAATATTTTCACTTGAAGTAATGAGATGTCAGCCATCTTGGATAAATTTTTTATCTCATTAACGGTAGTTTTGGTGACGTCACAACAGGGATTAACCATATAAAAGTATTCGTTGTTGACCAAATATTGATTGGTAGATGTTTTAAAGGTTTCAACTGACCTTGATATTTCCAAGGGCATACGGAGTATAATTTTTAGTGCAAAATGATCAGTGGTTGTCTAGATAAAAATATTGCATGACCCCTGTTGTGACGTAACATGCATATCTACAAAAATCCAAGATGGCGGACATTTCATTTCTTTCGATTAAAATATTTGTAGAAGTAAGCAAGATATGAAAAAACGGTAAAAGAGTTTTATATATGGTTTTAAATGTTCTTTTAAACGAGAAAATAAAAAAATATATTGCCATTTCCCTTTAACAAACAAATAGCAGTCTTAATCTCAATCGCATGCAGCATAATATGCAATAGCCCCAGCGACTAACGCTCAATAGAGCGTCTTGTTAGGTTTAAAACCACGAGCGCGCAGCGCGAGGGGCTTTAGATCTAATAAAACACGACCTGCGAGTTTTTTAAATGGCTTCAAAAACGTATGCATAATAAGTCAAATCTTTATATAGACATCTTTATATAAAAATCTTTATATAAAAATCTTTATATAAAAATCTTTATATGAAATCTTTATATAGTTTGCATAACAATGGTCTTTTGTTAAAGTGTTCTTTAGCTGGTATAAAGACGTATTTGGTTCATCGGAATAGGTTAAAATACGACTACAAAACAATACTAATTAGGATGAACAATTATATAGTTATACTAATTAGGATGGACAGTTATATAAAGAATACTAATGAAGATGAGTTTTGTCAGATATAAAGTCACTCCACGTGACATATTATGGCTGACATGATTTGCCACAAGATGAATGAATTATTAATGAGTATTTTAATAATGTTCAAAAACTCATTAATAATTCATGAAGCAATTATCCAATCTTGAGTAAGAAATTAGTCACGTGCATACGTCTTTATATCAGCTAAAGAACACATTGTTATTCAAACTATATAAAGATTTTTATATAAAGATTTTTATATAAAGATTTTTATATAAAGATTTGACTTATTATGCAAACGTTTTTGAAGCCATTTAAAAAAACTCGCAGGTCGTGTTTTATTAGGTCTAAAGCCACTCGCGCTGCGCGCTCGTGGCTTTAAATCTAATAAAACACTCCTGCTCGTTTTTTAAATAGTACTTCAAACACTCATTAATAAATCATAAGCTTATTGGCAAATCATGTCAACCGTAATATGTCACGTGCAGTGGCGTTAAACCTGATAAAACATTCCTAATTAGTATTCTTTATATAAAGAATACTAATAAGGCAGTATCTATTGTTGTCGTGTCCTCATTAGTATTTTTTTATATAAAGAATACTAATAAGGCGGTATATCTATTGAATTTGTGGTCGTGTTTGAAGCCGTTTAATAAACTCGCAGGTCGTGTTTTATTAGGTCTAAAGCCACTCGCGCTGCGCACTCGTGTCTTTAAACCTAATAAAACACTCCTGCTTGTTTATTAAACAGTACATAAAACATCGTGTTCATGAAGGTATAATATATCATTTATAGACCCTCCGCTAGGGGGTCAAAACATGGAGTACGTCTCATTATATTTAGACTGATGCTATGGTAAGAGGTCAGACCGTGTAAATTGTAAGCAGGACTAGAAATTGACACGTCTGCATGGTGGACAATATCAAAGCAGATCAAGGGCCCTGTATACACCTTGCCATCAGCTGATCGTGTTTGTCTGTCCTATTAATTACATTGATATTAGAAATTGCATTATTATTGTACATTAAGATATAGTCTATATACTATTATAATAGTACAAATTCAAAGAACTACATTATAATTGTATCTAAAAAGTGTTTACAGGCTCTTATTTTAAAGGTATTAAGTAAGTGATGTTAACTGATTGTCTTATTTCGAGTGGTAAACTACTATTTAAAAAACTCATTAATGATTCATGAAGAAAATTCAACATAAATGAATGTTTAATCAATGTTTGCCAATCGGATAAAGATTTATCCTGATTTACATAAACTTCAGCTTTGATTTTCTCGGCTTAGATAATGTTTATCAGTTTAAAATTACTTCGCCAATGAACTCATAAGATGGATCGTATTTTAAGCACGTTAAAACTTTCGCATCCGATCTTTGTAAAGATCGGCTGCTCATGTTTTAACTAGTGCATAAAGTTGCACCACTGTATATGGTGTCACTATATACACTAAAAAGTAAAATACAATTACAATATAACTTTCAAGTGATTTTTCTACAAATGTTCCTCTGTTATCGTTCTGTTCAAACATCTATGCTTTCAGTTATTTCTTCATATATGTGTTCTCCTGTGGTATTATCAATATGTTCTGAAGAAGAGTCTTCTGATGTTTGGTTAAAGATTGCATATGGAGAAATGGCTGCAAAAATTTGAAAAACAAATATTGGATGAGATTAGGAACATGTATTGCAAATTGTTGGGTACTGAATCGTTCATGTGGCTTTTTGTCTATGTTTTTACTCCCGGTTCAAGTTTTGTAGCGCTAAATGCCGGAATTAGAGACTAAGCCACGTTATAGTAAAAGCTTGTATTATTTCAATAGCACAATAAACCAGACAAATTTATGGGTTGAAGGGTCTTCTATATATAAGTCCCTGGCAGGAATTGCATCACCGAAATCGCTGGGCCACATGCAGGTTCGGTCCCTGCCTTGGACCTATAGTTGCACTATTCGCAACTGTTTCTGGTTAAAATACATGAAAGAACAGTAACTCCGAATAACATTTTGTAGCTTTAATGAATCTACGTTTCGACTATATTTTAGTCATCGTCAGGACAGTTGACGTCAGGACAGATTGACTGCATAGTTAGGACTAATAAATGTACATAAATTTCCACTCGATAATTTCCCGATCTAAAAGACCCTCTAACTATTACTGAATCGAGTGAAATGTCAACAAAATCTCGATAAACTAACTTCACCCATTTTCATTATCGGTTTTTAATTTGTTTTCCACGGAAGTCTTGTAGTAAACGCCTTCCGCGTCCAGCAGTATTACTACGGGAAACTGGAGTATTTGAAGCAGACAAGCTTGGGAAAGTCAAAGTGGAAGCATTCTTTTTACATGAAATTATGACAGTCGTAGGGTGCCGAATATACATTAATTTTACTTCTATTAACTAAATACGAGTTGCATAGCAACCGTAAAACTGTCATCACAAGCATACTCAGTTATTGACATTAAAAACTGAAGGGTCATCAGTCATCCGTAATTATCACCATTTTCTAAAAGAGTGCAAACCAGGTGCTAAGGGGGGGGGGGGGTTAATGACCAATGAACGCCATATATCATGTTGAACTAGAGACCTGTCATTATCATTTTTGAGGTTCAACATATTTAAGAGAACGCTTTGGGAGGGAGATCAAGGAATTTGGAAAAGAGTACTCTTTGTACGCTTGTGAAATTTAGACCTGAAAAAATGTGTTTAATGTTGCTCGCCTCGAGTCCTGAATTTGTCTTTTTCAAATGCTCCTCAAATCAGTGTGTAAAATAAAATAATGGAAAATATGACTGTACTTTGACTGCAAAGTTCAGGGACTTGCTGGCTAGGGACGAGCCGCCGAGAACATGTTGTGGGCCCCTCCCATCACGGACCCCTAAAATTAAAACATTGGAAAAGATAAAAAAATATCGATTTTAGTTTTGAAAATCAAAATTAATTTAAGATATTACTATTCATATTTTAAAAATCTAAACTTACGGAAATATCACCGAAAAATTTAACTAATTATGGTACATTAAATCGAAAGTTACTGAAAAATGTAAAATCCGGAATTTTTTTTACTCCTCCCCCCTCTCGCCAACAATTTTTGGGAAAAAAGATTAATTAGCGACTGAAATATTTCATGTTTCAGTCTTGATCCATCCGTCACTGGGCCTGGGCCCCATCCGACGTTGCTCATTCGTCTTCCTTTTCACGACGCCAGCACCTCACAACGTATGTGTGAAAAAATGCATGTTCCTCAATCTTCTTGCTAAGGCGAAATATGTTCCTAAGGATCCAGGATCGAGATCCCACATTTTCCTAGGTTTGGTGAAAATTATGGTGATTATAGATGAGCCCTAAACAACTCAAACAATTCAATGACGAACCTGGAGAAAGTTCCATGCGGCAGGGTCTTCTGTCTTTGTCCTTGCCATATTTGAAACAGTCACCCCCGTATTTGGGAGTTGGATTATCACACTGCCGGGACCACATCTGGTACTCCACACCACATGTGGCACTGCATGCTGACGATATAGTCCAGTTGCTATAGCCACCATTAACTAAAATAATAATTCAAGGGTAAAACTTTCACGAACCACAGCACGAAGAGCTGCAGGTTAATGAAGAAGAACAATGTTAACATAGTACGTGTTGTATTTAATATATGATTAGTCATCTTTCGCTTATACTTGCAAATTCGAAACATTATATGATCACGTTTACGCTAACAGCTAACGACAAACTTTAAAATTAACAACTTATAGTCGTAAAAAGTGTGTGAAACTTAGCTTGCTCAAAATGAATTGGAAGTTTGTCGTTTACAGTTAGCGGTTTGCCATAAACGTAAATCTTAAGGTCTCTGTTAAGTACAGGACAGGGCCGCTCACGTTTTAAACTCAATTTATATAATGTTTGGTTAAATAGAGAGATTGTTTTTACTGCAGTGGTGTAGTGGTCGGGGCGTTTATGGGGGCTGAACCTCCTTTCTTTTTTTTGGTGGAGGAGGCTTAGTCTCCCTTAAGGTGACCCGATACTGCTTCAATCTCAAAATTTAGTAAAAATTTGGTATATTTTCAAATTGTATTTGAGTCTTGTTAAAAACCTTAAGGTGATTCAATAGAGTTTTAAAAAAAATAGAAAATTCGCAAGTTTTGGACAAGTATTACTTGTTGAAAAACAAGAAGCATCTTAATTATGTAACGCAATATCTAAAGAGTCTGAATTTTTTTACAAACTGCTGTTTCTATGGAAAAAATGGCCTGTTTAGTATGGCGTACATTTTTTATACTTTAAAGTAATTTAATTTAACTC